TTTTTTTGAATTTTTAATTAGATAATTATAATAATTATAGTTATAAATTATTTAATTGAAATTCTTTTATAAAAAATTTAATTTAATTACAAAAATAATTAAAAGTATGAAATTTATTTATTTAATAATATTGAAAAACTTTAATTATTAATTAGATATAATTTTAATTATTTTAAATATATTTAAAAATATTTTTTAAAAATTATAAATGATTTTAATTAATAAAAGTTAAAAATTTAAAAAAAGTAAAGTTGTGTTGGGGGTGCACGACTTCTCTTATTGAAGTCGTGAACCCCCCTACGATTTCAATTTTTTTTATATTTTTTTATTAAAAATGGTATGGTAATCGATTACAATACGTGATAATCGATTACCATACCCTAAAGTCGTTTTTGGGGTGCACGACTTCAATCCTGGTCAAATGAACAGGGTGAAGTCGTGCAGGGGGGACACGACTTCTTCGTTAGAAGTCGTGTGGGTCCCCCACGACTTGTCTATTTTCGTATTTTAAAATTTTTTTGCCTATTTTCGTAATATCCGAGGCAAATTTACCTAGTTTGGTAACTTTGCCTACTATTTAGCATACTAAAAATATATAATTTTTTCACTTTCTATTGTATGGCTTTAATGCAATATGTTCTTTTTTATTAATTATAACAAGATGTTATGTTAAAAGGTGATATAATAAAATAATCAAATTTTGTTTACGATGGATATTTTTTTATTACAACTATTTTCATAAGTTAATTTTGTTTTTACATGAAAAGATAAAAAAATGAATTTGTCATATAATTTTTACTTATATAAATGACATAAACATCAATCAAATTCTTAATGAGCTCACAAATATAATTGATTTCTTAAAGAAATGATTTGAGACGAAGGATTTTGAAAGGACAAAGTTTTGTTTAGATTACAAATTATGCATTTAAATAAATGTGTTTTTTACATCAAAAGGCTTATATAATAATACTTTGTTACCTTAAAGGTAATAAGAATATGCATTTATGAAAACATATCTTACAGTGTTTTCCAACATGACAAACCCAGACAGATAACTAAGAATGTCTACACATCTCATCTCTGTAAAATTGAGCTGATCTACAATCCCCTAATCCTGAACTTAATATCTACGAGGCTGAATAAGTAAAGAACTGTGACTGGGAAAGTAAAAAAAAATTGGGTTAAATTGTCTAAAGGGGCTCAACTATGAGTGGAAGTCCACGACTAGGCCTCAGGGAGAGCATAATAGATGGTGAATGTTTGTAATCAGGGGAAACCTTAAAACTAAACCTAGAGAGAACAAGAGTTAAAACAATCTTGTACTCCATAAAGGTCAAATTTCTACCAACACACATTCTCCCTCCAAACCCAAAAGGCAAATAACCCATCTTGTGCTTGCATCCACCGTTCACATCATCCATGAACCTCTCTGGCCTGAACTCATTCACATCCTTTCCCCATAACTCAGCCTCATGGTGCATGCCCACCACATCTATCCACATGTTCGTTCCATTTGGAACTGTTACATCATCAACTTTTATGTCTTCTCTTGCTTGCCTTTGCACATTCGGTGATGGAGGGTACAGTCTTAGAACTTCACTCATTACGCACTTCATCTGCATGTTCGTCAAACAGATCTTTAATTTACTAATCTACGGAGACCGTATGTAGGATCATACAACAACAAATATCAATGGACAAATCTTATAAAAACATCAAAGAACGTACCTTTTTTAAACCAGAGAGCATAGAAATATCAAGTTCTTCAGAGTTCCCCACCACCTCTCGTATCTCATCTCTCAACTGGGTTTGCCAATCTGGGTGCATGGCCAGAAGCAGCAAGGTCCACGTGATGGCAAGTGCTGTGGTTTCATGCCCTCCGAAGAAGAAGGTCTTGCATTCGTCAACAACTTCTCGCGATGTTAACGTCTTACCCGACCTTCCATCGACCTCGTGATTTTCTTGCAGCAACAGACCTAACAGATCTTGCTGACCATTTTTCGTCCCCGACTTCTTCCGAGATTCTATGATCGACAACAACAGTTCGTCGATTTCTTTCCCGAGTTTCTTCGCCTCTAATGTTTTCTTTACGTTGAAATACTTCCCAAAGGGAACACCTACGTATCGATTGGTCTTAAAAAGGGTCATTTGCAAGGCTCTTAATTTGTCGAAAACATCTCTTGCATTCTCATCTTTCATGCCAAAACTTGTTCTTGCTATGATCTCCCCAGCCGTTGCTATAATCTCACTTTCCACGTCGATTTCGGGGTTCCCAGAGTTTATTCTGGTAAACCATCTGTCTATCATTTGATTCGTGGATTCAACCATCATGTTCGCCATTCCCTAGATATCACATAACACAAGATAATGCAAAACTAATCAGACGTATGCTTATGATCAGTAACTATTGACATCAAAAGAATAGTAGAATCATCAAAACCACTCCAATGTGAACGGGATTCAATGTAATTGTTTTTTTCATACATGCACCACGTTTGTCATGGTAGATGCAGATCGAAGAACATCCAAAATCAAATAAAATGTAATGTAATTAATGGAGAGATACCTTCAAGTTAATGGGATTGAATGCGGGAGCAACAATGTGCCTGTGACGAACCCATTCGTTGCCCTCAACCATGACCAAACCACTCCCAAACATGGGGTCTCTGTCATTTCTAAACACACTTGGCTTGCCCCATCTTTTGGCCAACACCACTGTTGACATTTTCTTCAAAAACTCTGGCTCTGCAATGTACAAAAACGGCTCCGTGCCCAACCAATACAAGAACACCTTACCTACACAAACACAAAATAAAATGCATACTTAACAACACCTCCATGTACATCATGACTTATGTCCTGTACAATAATATGAACATGAATATACATGAGATGGGAAACCTACCATGTGACTTCTGCCAGGTAGAGAAGTAAGGGAAAACGTAAGAGTGTATATCGTGTGGGAGATTCGAGGAAACAACTGAAGATTTAATGATACTCTTTCTTTTCATCTCTTCAATGTTCCCAAGTGGAAAACTTGGGGTTGGCCCTTCTAACCCACATTTCTTGAGCATCTTAAGTTTTTGGTTAGGGAAAACCCACCAAGAAAAAGTTAGTACGAAGAACAAGAAGAGACAAAGTATGACATAGAAGGCAACAAGAACTCCATATAGCCCTAAAAACTCCATCTCTCTCTTTGTATCGTTTTAATACTCGAACTTCTAAGATTATGGTTGTGTTGTGGGTATAAGATAGTAATATAAGTCTGTATTTATATAAGAAGGTTTTGAATGGGAGAACTAATTGGTGGCTTTTGACTACGATAAGGAACGAGTTGTTGTTATGCTTTTGCTTTTATTATTATTATTTTTGTCCACGGATTGACTTTTTGACCCTCGCGACATGTTTGAATATTTTCCCTTTTTGGGTCCATCTGTGTGTCAAAGTTTTTGGTCGGTTTTTTTTTTTTTTTTTGCAGTTTTGTCCACACAGCTTAATTATGTTTAGAAGTGAAATTTTGTGACTAAGAAAAAAACAAAAAAGGTGTGAGAAAAACAGAATCTTTGTCGTTCTTGTTTGTAGTCAACGCGATATGCAAAAGCAACAAAGATCAGGTCTACACCGTCACCGTGTTTGGCCATAAAGAAGCCAAACGTAGTTCATGTTTTGCGAATCCGCGGTTAACATAATAAGTTAAAATGTATACAGTACAGCCATCAAGAGCATCACACTTTATTTTTTTTCAGTTCATTTTTTTCTCGCTACTAAGACACAAGAACTAGAAAAATAATGCCAACTTATTATTTATTTATTTTAAAGTGATTTTTAAATTTGTTAATTTATTTTACTTGCAATATATTTATTAACATTATTAAATTTTAATAGTAAAATTAATATTCTTTAATTTTCCAATAATTTACACTACTACATTTAAGGTAATGGTTTAAAAAAAATACTTTTATAAGACTCTTTTGAAGCAATTTTTAATATATTTATTTTAAAACAATTTTTTAATTTGTTAATAATTTATTTTACTTGTAATATATTTATTAACACGATTAAATTTTAATAGTAAAATTAATATTCTTTAATTTTTCAATAATTTACACTACCACATGTAATTGTTTTAAAACAAATATTTTAAGAGTCTTTTTGAAGCTTTTACTTCATGTAAAGTTATTTTACACAAAAAAAAAAAGAAGAGGGACTTTCTAAATTTTCATAGAAAAATAAAATATAAAAGAAATAATGGTTAGTGATTTGGAATAAATTGATGAACATTTTACCTTGAAAGTAAAAGTCTCTAATGAAATTGAAACAAACCTATACATATATAAATTATTTAAGCTTAATTAAATTTTGTTCACGTAAAATAAGAAAATTAAAATCTTGTGAATAAAGAATAATGAATATGAAATTAAGTGAAAAATACTAATAGTATTTACAAAATTGTCATGAATTACGTACCGATATTATAATATCAAATAATATTATTAAAATAATATTATCTCAAATAAATAAGTTATATCTTATCATAGATAATAACTATAATATTGATAATTGTAATTAAAATGTAAATATTTGAATATTTTTTTAATAAATGAATTTGGACAGTTACAATATAAAAAACTTAATGAATTTTATTAAACCGCGTTCTTAATATAATATTTTTATTATGTCGAGTAATTATAAATTTTAATTATTAATTTTATAAATTTAGAATACTTTTAAGTGAAATTTTGTTTTGTTGAATGTAAATAATAAAAATTATTTAAATACTTATTATTTGATTTTGTTATAAATGGGATAACGTTTTTCCATCTTGAATGACTATTATTGAAAAATAAAATAATGAATTGACTGATCAATTAAAAGAAAATAGGAAAATAACTAATCAACGAGTTAAAATTAAAAATGAAAAAGAAATTAATAATTATATTATTTCATTAACAACAAAAATTAAATAAAAAGAACTTGAGTAAAAGAAATATTTTAAATAATAAATTAAAAATATGTAAATGTATAAGTAATTAAATTTTAATTAATCGGTTTATTTAAATAAAATTAGATTAAAAAATAAATTTTTTTAATAGACGACAAAAGAGGGATAACGGCAAAGTACAAAACGATAATCCAAAAGATATGGATGAGATTTAAAACACGTTAGGTAAGATGGGCGGAGGAGAAAGTCGTAGTTTATTTTAAATTAAAGAAAATATTATTGTAGCAAATAATGAACACTTGTATATAGTGTTGTGTGATAATTTTGTAATAATAAATTTCTTATGTATGTATTATTGGACAACTAAATGACTTTGTTCTTTTCCAAAAACAAAAGTATTTTTTAATTGATGAACTAGACAAAACATTGTGGATGTTCTTAATAATTTGTTGCAAAAGGAAGCGAAAATTAAATTCAATGAAATTGCAAATAAAAAATATAAACAAACAAGATATAATTAAATTAAAATATATATACCACTTTATTTTTGGCTCTCTTGTATCAGATCAACTAAATATTATTATAATAAATTTAGAATATTTGGGTTTAATAATTGCTCCAAGTTTAAGTTATGCATGTATTAAATATTTTGCTGAAAATAAAGATATTGTTTTTTTTTTCACAATAATTTGGTTTAGGTGAATTAAAATTATCTAAATCAGAAAAGAAATAGACGCGATATAAACGTTTTCAACGGAAATTATAATCAGTGCCTATTTCAAAACATTTTAAACGTGCATCATCCCATCCTTCATATCTTTTTCTTTAAAAAAAACAACCTATCGATGTACACGAATTAATGCATCTGTTAAAATTATAAATTTATTATGATATTCTATTTTAAAAAAACTAAAAACTTCAATTATGGAATAAATTATAATGTAATAGAGAAATAAAAATTAATTTAAAGTATCAAAAAAATGTCTGAATTAGATAAGACGGTATATTACATAATGTGATAGAATAGTGGTTTGTTAACAGATCACTATATCTTCTTGTTTGTTTGACTATCAATTTATCATTATCATTGATTTTGTGTGTCTGTTTGTGAAGTGATAGAGGAAGTAATTGCATTAAATGAATTATTTTATAATATAATTATCTTTTAGTTTTGACATTTTCATTTTAAAATTTATCATTAAATCTATATAAAAATTATTTTGATTAAATATTTAACGAATAATTTATTTTAACTTCAGCATATAATTTGTTTTGAAAATTCTTTGATGGATATATTTAATAAAATAAATAAGTACAACTTTCTTAAAAAAGATATACGTAAACAGGTAAAAGAAACATAAATTTAAAATATTTTGAAAGATTGCATGATACTTCTTGTTTCAGTGGATACTTTTAGGGACCGAGAGACTAACCTGCTGACGCGTCTGGGCCGCTCGCTCGCTTCCAAACTCCTCCTGTTGGCCGATCGGTGTTGGCGCAAACCGATCGGTCTCCTTCTTGACGAGGGGGATGTACCTGCAAAAGGTACTCCGACGCCCAAGTTACGCGTGTGATTTGAAGAGCCTCGGCTCTTGGATGAATATTTAGTGAATGGTTCTCACTATTGAGTATTTGAGAGTCATGTAGAGTAAGTGGAACGTACCTGGCTCTTGGCCCTAGCTTTGTATTTATTATTTTCCTCATGGATCTTGAGCTAATATAAGCCCAATAAAATATAAACAGAATAAGATATAAACAGATTACCTAAATATCCGGTTGGTTGTTTGTAACCGCTCGGTTAATATTTCATACTATACATTATGCCCCCCCAAGTCCGAGTTAAGCGTTTGGCTTTAGCCGTGGTTAACTATAGGACTTATGAGTTTGAGGGAGGGTATGTTTGTTGTATTGGTGAGCTTCTGCCGCTCTTGTCGGTGGTTGAAGAGAGTTCTTTTTAGAACTTTTTCCATGTAAAGACAAATCGATGGCGTTTTACCGCTCGTCCTTCAACATGAACCGAGAGGAATTTACCTCTCGCCCTTCAACAGGAACCGAGAGGAATTTTACCTCTCGGTCTTCGACAATAAGCGAGCGGATTTTACCGCTCGACGATCGACACTAACCGAGCTGGATTTA